TTCTGTTTCCATATCTATCCGAGACTCTAGATTCATTTCAATTGCACCATGGCATCCCCTGTATAGAGGCAGCTAGCGTTTCTGGTTTTTGCGAGCGAAGAAGAAACGGGAATTTGGGAATGGAGGGCTTTTGTTGGGTTTACGTGGTGGTCGTTGGCTGTGTTGTTGATCACGTGAGCTTAATATGGGTGGCCGACGTGGCTGTATCTATGCCTTTGGATCTAAATTTCAAAATAGATATACCATTTAATTATGCTTAAATACCCAATTTGATCCCTAAACGTTCAGTTTTGGACCAAGTTCGTCCCTGAACTTACTAAATTACTGAATCTGTCCTAAAACTTTATTTTTTAGCTGCCAACTTGGTCCTTCTGTCGACAGAAGTGCCTAGCTGGCACGTTAACATGCCACGAATTTATATTTTTGCAATTCAAATAATTACATGTAAATAAACCACTGTCACATTGATGATTTGGCAACCTACATGTATTATCCACATTTCCACATGTGAAATTGAAAATTTGAAAAAATTAATTTCAAACTTGGTCATCTGAGTAAATAATTAAATAATTAAATAATATCAATTAGTTGTAACATACATAATTAAATAATTATCATTTTACAATGTTAATTAAATTTAAATTTTAAGGAAAATTAACAAAATCAAAGAACAAATTCATTTTCCCATGAATTTTCTCTACAACCAAACAACTAGGCTACCCAAAAATTTAGCAAAAGAAATTCATCACCTTCAATCCAATTCCATCTACATGAAATCTAAAGCTTAACTTCAACAATTCAATAAAAACCCCATAAACCAATTGGAATTTTTTTCCCATGATTTTCTCACCAACCAAACAAATATCCAGATAAACATGCCACAAAGCAAGAAAATTTTCATTCAAATTCTCCCAGATTTACCATGAAATCTAAATTTTTTTCCCCAAGGTTTTTCACCATGATTTTTCCTCCAACCAAGCAAATACCCAGATCATGGATCATATGCAGAGCTCCATCACAAAGCTTCACACCATCGCCATTGTTGTTGTTAGCCTCCCTAAATTATAGATCGATGCTCATCCAGATTGGAGCCATACCTTTTAGATCGATGTCATTTATCGACTTTTGTTGCTTTGCACCCACTTGTGACATCTTGGATTTGATCAATCAAGAATTCCAAGTCCTTATGCCTAATAAAGATGAACCCATTCCCCAAATCAAACTCATCAAAAACTTTGGGTTCTACAATAAACCCAGATCTAAGTACTGCCAGCCACCCTAACCACAAAATCTCTACAACCCCAAAT